GACCGTTTAACCACGATGGGGTCCAAAATAGGTCAATTCCCACATGAGAGAAAGGGAAGACTGGGCCACACGATCTCAGGAGGTCAGCCATTTTTGTTCTCGCTTTGAAAGGAAGTCAGGGCCATTCAACCAGCTGTTGACCCAAGGAGGTCAATATCAACCATGTGATCAAAGTCCGCTGATGTGTCCTTTGGAGAACTTACAATCCTCCATTTGGCTTTCCTTGGGACAAGTGTGAATTACTGCTACCTAGTTACAACATAGGAGGAATGATTTTGTTTGGTGTGGATGTATTTTTAACTGATGTACTATCGTCCAGGAAGTTGATTCGTACTTTGATGTTTAGCCCTCTGTAACATCCTGTCACTTTTATCAGCAAGGTAGCAGCTGCGAGCTCCAGTTTGTCCGGATAGTTAAAAATCACTCTAAGTTCTAACCTGTCCCTATCTTGACTCTGAGTGAAACGTCACGGGGGGGTTAAGGGATAGGGATAGGAGAATCAAAAGGACGTAGGAGAAGAGACTGCGGACTTTAGAGAATCCGAATGAACTTCACTATCCGACTGGTATGATGTGCCAGCGGACGTCATTGTGTGGGCGTCTGGCTGGAGGAAACTATGGAAATACAGTTTTTCTATAACAAACGGACTACAACATGGAGTTTAGATAAGAACGACAGACTCACCTAGAGACTCTGTAAAAAAAAGCACCATGCCTGAGGCTGTTGCTTTATGCACAACAGAGAAACATATTCTTCATGCCAAAGCTGTAAATTGAAATAAAAAAGGAAGATGAAACGTATGCTCGTCACCCTCTTCTCGCGGTCCCATTAATACAAAGATCACCCAATACGTATGATGTATGAAAATATCTTTAATACCAAATGTATTATTATAACGTTAGTCTTAACTCTATCACAGGCGTATATCACGCTTCAAACATCTTTAAAAGTTGAACGAAACCCCACACCGCTCAGTGAAATGGACTTATGACAATTGTCCCATCCACACCTATCAATGCAGAGTCCCTATAAGTTTGCTGGCCTTGAGATGAATGGTGAAGGGAAAGAGGGGGCGTAAATAGAACCGACAATAGAAATAACCTGTTCTGCTGCTAGGAACATGTTTGATGCAACAGCGAAGGTAAAATATCCTCACCGATAATCCACTGGAGCCTAGAACTATCTTCTAGAGGGTTTTCTTGTCCCAGATCTAGCTTTGCTCAACTGGCTTAGCTCTGTGGCACTCAGGGAGTTCTAAGCACGTCACTTGGCGTTACTCACGTCCCATTGGTAAGAGAAACCTCCTTCGGCCATGCCCTTCAATTAGATCCTTGGAAGTCGATAGCTTGAGTGTAGAAGCCACCAGATTGATCATCCACATAAAAGGCGCGCGAATGGTTTCCAGAACTATCCATGCTGTATTACTGGATATTGTCCTCTGACACTTGGGTGCAAGGCAAAACTGCATGCCTCGGGAGATACTGCACCAAAGAGATGCCACATACCCCGCCATCCAAGGACGTCTAGTGTTCGTTAGTCTCCTGAGGCCACCACAAAAACCTGAGAAGTCCAAGAAAGTGGTCTCCTGTCTTGGTACCCGAGAGTACATGTCCAGCCATATTGCAATGTTCCTGACCGGAAACAAGCAAGACCCTAGAAGGGGATTTAAGTCAGTCCGGACCTATGGAGGAGTTCAGCATAAGGGACTTTTCCTTTAAATGAAAGATGAACAGTCAAATACAACCCTGGAGTTTCTTCTTTCATTTTATGGTACAACCCAGAGCCGGATGTACCAGAGCCTGCCGCTGGATCTTGAAGTGACTTGTGAAACTTCTTCGCATAGCCTTTTCCAGTACCTTTTCCATGAAGGCTTTATAGTTCTTCAGCGTAAACTGAATCCTCTTAAATTTCTCCCAGCAGGTGGTTTTGGCGATGTAGGCCATGTGGTGAATGTCAGGCAGGGCCCAAAGCCTTATCACGGAAGGGTAAAAGAAGCTGGTAAGTCCGTTTTGATTAATTGAAACTTTCAGCACGCAATAGAATGTCACTGGATAATCTGAGGGAACCAGCTAGTCCCAACAGTACAACCAGGATTTCCCTGAAAAGGAAATGAGGAAAAAAGAGATGTCATGGGAGGACAAGGAAATCATGGACCATGCCTGAAGTCAACTAAGCAAAAACGGACATTACCACTTACCTTTCCACGTCGTGATAAGGACTGCCGCCTAACAATGACAAAGGGCACACATCGGCAAACCAACCTTGCTGGGAAATTTAAGAGGGATCAGTTACCGCTGAAGAATAAAAGCCTTCATGGAAAAGGGACCGAAAAGGCACTACCTGCCGAAGAAGCACAGATCAAACTCAAAGATCAGACGAGCAGGCTCGGGTACATACCGCATCATGGGTTACCATAAAAGAAGAAAAACTCAGGTGAATTGACTGTTCATCTCATTTAAAGAAAGTCCCTTCATGCTGACTCCTACAAGGTCCGAACTTGACTAATCCCCTTCTAGCGGCTTCGCTCTCGTTTCCGTCCGGCAAACAAATTGCAATAAGGCTGAACAATGTACACTCGGAGTACACAGCTACAGAACACGCGCCCGTGACTATCTCCAGGTTTTGGGTGGCCCAACGGACGACAACAGCAAACCAATAGCAACGGCATCGGATGAATTGCAGCACCTTTGGGCCAGTCACCATCACCGAACAGCATAAGCCACGCTTGCCTTGGACAAGTGTCAAGAAGACAAACAGTAAATACAGCATGGAAGTCCGCGACTTCAGCGCAGCTTTTGGTGATGATCCAACATCGCTGCTTCACCAACTCAAGCTCATCGAACTTACCAAGACGAATGAAGGCCAGTGCGAAGGCGATTTACTTTCTACCAAATGGGTGGTAACAGCCAAGACGTGCTAGAACCATCCTGAGGCACAGAGCTAAGCCAGTGCAGCAACTAGATCTGGAAAGAAAAACACCTCTAGAAACCTAGCTAGCACAGGGAATATCGTTGAGACTACTTTATACCTTCGCTGTTCCATCAACAGTTCCTACAAGAAGAACAGTTAGTTCGTTATCGGTTCGATTACACCCCCTCGGTTTCCCTCAACCATTCTCCTCAAGGCCAACGCAAATCCTTATAGGACCTGCATTGATAAGTGTGGATGGGAAATTGCAAATAAAGTCCAACATTTCACCGGAGCGTGTGGGGTTGTTCACTTTTAAAATATGGATTTGTTGAATGGTGATATACAGAGTGAAGAATGTTAGAGGACTAACGTTTATAAAAAACATTTGTATTTTAAGATATTTCATAACAACATACGTATTGGATCATTGTATTAAGTGGACCGGAGGAAGAGGTGACGAGCATAACTTTCACTTCCTTTTTTATTCAATACAACTTTGGTCCATGAAGAATATGTTCTCTGTTTGTGCATAAAAGCAACCAGCATCAGAGCATGGTGGAGAGTATCTAGAGAGTCTGTCCGTCCTTATTAAACTCCATGTTGTCAGTCCGTGTATAGAAACTGAGTCCATAGTTTCCTCACAGCAGCAAGACGCACACATGACCCGCTGGCAACATCATAAACACGCGGAATAGTGAAGTCATTCGGATTCAAAGTACCGCAGTCTCCGTCTCCTACGCCCTTTTGAATTCTCCTATCCACTATCCCTTAACCCCGTGACGTTTCACTCAGAGGTCAAGGAATAGGAGACAGGGTTAGAACTTAGGAGCTGATTTTTAAACTATCCGACCGCAACCTGGAGCTCGCAGCTGCTACACTTGCTGTAAAAGTTGACAGGATGTTACAGAAGGAACTAAACATCAAACTACAGAAATCTACCTTCTGGACAGATAGTACATCAGTACTAAAATACATCCACAACCAAACAAAAATATTCCATACCTATGTTGCTAATAGGATAGCAGTGATTCACAACTTGTCCCAAGAAAGCCAATGGAGGCATGTAAGTTCCAAGGACAATCAAGCAGACTTTGCATCACATGGATTGAATATTGAACCATTCTTGGAGTCCACAAGATGGTTGAATGGCCCTGACTTCCTTTCAAAGGAGAACAAAAAATGGCTGACCTACCTGAAGATCGTGTGGCTCCAGATCTTCCACCTTTCTCTCATGTGGGAATTGACTATTTTGGACCCATCGTGGTTAAAAAACGTCAAGGCCATGTGAAGCGGTGGGGGGGGTAATATTTACCTGCCTTGTGAGTCGAGCTATTCATCTGGAGGTGGCGAGTACCTTAGATACTAACTCCTGCATCAACGCCATAAGGCGGTTTTCATGTCTAAGTGGGGGCTAATTGAAATGACTTGTTGAATGTATATATGCATTTTAGTAGATTTAGTATGATAAACAGAAATGTGATTTCATATTTTGCGTAGTTTAACATATTTAAAGGTGTTACCTGGCTCCATAGAATGTTTTCTTATTTATTTGCTTTTGCATCACAATTAGGGGCCGGAATGATTAAGCCATATCTAGGAGCTTATATTATTTAAATAGTAATTTATTTTATTGTTCTTTTTTGGTTATAGTAAATCTTCCTTTTAATTCTTAAGTTTATCAAATAAGTTGTACTATGCCTCTGTTTTGTAAAGTCAGCCTTTGGGCACCGGGGGGGGGATGGGAGACCTGCTCATTATAAATCTGGGAAACAGGTGGTAGTGGGCGGCGCACCCGGTAGGCCTATGGTTTTTTACCATCGGGTAAGAACAAAGAAAAATGCTTGTATATGTGTATAAATAAATTGCACTAAAACGACTTTTGCTCAGACCTTGATTTTGACCCATGCGTAAGAGTCGCTGATGGGTGCCTCAGCGGCACTTTGAGTTGTATTTCTTTCTTATATTTTTATGATTTTGTCCGCTTTAGGAGCTGATATGGCCATACTTCATGTCTCTCTGCTGCACTCTCGTTGTTATACAGGCGTTCATGAGTTCCAGCACAAAACAGTACAGCAACGACATAACCTTTAGCTATCAATTATCACAAAATAAACAGTGAAAACATATACTTACACTAAGTCACGCATATGTAAATAATAGCCTACTCTTTATTTTTTTATTATGTCAATAATGTTATGAGCGCACATGCATGAGCTGCATGGTGGCAGTTGTTGCAGGGCTCAGTGGGTCAAAGCTAGAGGCTGGCTGTGAAGACCCCGTGATCTGATATTTATAGTGGGACATGTATAAATAGCTGCAGCATGTGTGTGTGTGCTGAGGAGCCTGCTGGCAATACTGTTTTGAAAGCCATCGAAAGCGCACAGCCATCTGACTGAAGGTAAACACCAGATAATAAATAAATAATGCATATGGTGAAAAATGAGGGTGATGAGTGTGCTGTGTAGGCAACCTGTTTAAATGTGGCTATCAATCTTCCATGTTATGTTGTTGAATGTGTCAGGTAACTTGATAGCATTTGGGATTTTGTAAAAATATGTTTTGTTGTTGAAGTGTTTCTTGATACATCTCCTTTGATAATTTAAGATTAATATTAAGTACATGCTCACTGCGATCATTCATGCAGTATGAATCTCCATTCATGTAATTCAATCACCATGAGAGGTGTATTCTGTAAATTATCTGATCTCACATGGCCTGTTAAGTTAGTGCTGCTATGCAAAAATCTAGGACAAAAAAGGACTACATGGAGTCATTATAATCCAAATCTTTGTTTTGGTATCTGTCAGCCCATTTTTAAATCTACTTCAACGACAGGAATGAGTATGTCAGCAACTCCTGTGATTAACTGCACTGAGCTTTTGTGAACTTTTCCCTGTCAGTATTCAGGGCTGCAGGTGGTGTTCGAGTTTTCGGGTGCCATATTTAAAGGTATTGTCTCCCTTATGGCTGTCTCCCCAGGGCAGTTCCTTGTGCGTTGACCCTTTCTGGACCTACAAATGAACAAAGAGACAGAAGATGACTTTTATCAATCGGAGGACGACTTGGATGAGGATGAGGCGACGCAATATATAATTGAACAAAGCCTGATTGAATATAGAAAACTCAAAGGATTGAATCCAAGGTTGATCTCCGACCACCTAAATAACCCTATTTCTCTATACAGTATCTCTTCATCATTTACATTTCTCTCAACAGCGATCTGAAACCCAGTAAAGACCCTGATGAGATTTTCAAAGCAATCAAGGAGGGTGAGCTGATGTAATTCTTAAACCTGTCAACTCATTTTCATTAGATATTGCCATAGTTCTGAGAAAATGTACTCATGTTTAGGTGATGAAGATGCCCTTAACAGACTGGCAGTGCAACCAGAGGCTCTGTCAAGAGTTGATGAACGAGGATGGATCCCGCTGCATGAGGCTTCGGCACAAGAGAATAAAAAGATACTAGAGATTATCTTCTCAGGTAGTGATGTTACTAAAAGTAATACTCTTTTGGATTTTTTATTCAGGCAAGTTTATTAGTTGTTTTATGTTCCAGCATCACCTCCAGGTGCAGCACAGTGTCGTACTCTGAAGGGTGAGACGCCACTGTTTCTGGCTGTGGTTCATGGAGTCAGAGACAACGCTACATTCCTGTTACAGAACGCCAGTAGCCCAGATCTCCAGAATGATGAGCAAGACTCTCCTTTAGTGGCAGGTATCTGACATCTGAATGCAAAGTTTATCTCATTTTGCACCCACCCACAGATATTAGCCCATTTGTATATCTACCTTCTTTGCCTCTTAGCAATTCTGAATGACCAGTACGACTTGGCCACACTGTTGCTTCGCTACAGAGCCAACGTGGACCAAACAGGACCTCTAAACAGGACCGCTCTGCACGAGTCAGCCTTTTTAGGTCTGGAGAACTTTGTCCATTTGCTCCTTGAATCATGTGCCGACCCAAATGCCCGTGACATCAAAAAGAAAACTCCTCTGGCTCTGGCTGCGCAAAATGGACATCTGAATGTGGTGGAAGCCCTGTTACAAAAAGGTATAGTTAAAGTGATTTAACTTCCACTTTGGGCTTAATATTTCACCTGATAAGCTCAGAGTAAAGCGCTTTTGTTTTCGTAAACTAGAGGAGAGTAACTCACACAAGAGTGATTTTGGTGAGACAATCCTGGCCAAAGTTACTACATTATTACTGTGCGTTTGACCCTCTTAGATTAATGACATATATTTTCCAGGTCTGAAAAATGACTGTTAAATGTAAATTCTAACAGCATCTCTATCTATTTTGTAGGAGCCAATGTGTGTTGCGAATCAGAGTCAGGCCCTGTCTTGTTTGATGCAGCGGCATCAGGAAACCCTGACATTATCTCCTTGCTGCTGGACCATGGAGCAGATCCCAACCAACCTCTTTCCAGTGGCCATCTGCCAATTCATCGTGTGGCCTACCATGGACACATACTGTGAGGAATATGTTACATCTAACTTTCCTACTTTTAAAATAGAGGTTGAACCCCTGTCATGTTCTGACATTAGGATTATTCACCAACAGGGCACTGGAGCGCCTCATCCCAGTCACTAAACTGGAGGCTGTAAAGGAAGGCGGGATGAGTCCTCTCCACTCTGCAGCCGCTGGGGGACATGCTCATTGTGTGGAGATACTGCTCAAAGCTGACTACGATCCTAACTTCATGCTTCACACAAGTGTGCGCTGCAATTATGATGATGAGCGCAGGTCTGCCCTCTATTTTGCAGTGTCCAACAATGATCTTCAGTGCACCCGCCTGCTGTTGGAGGCTGGGGCAATGGTGAACCAGGATCCTATCAATTGTTTGCAGCTGGCTCTCAGACAGGGCCAATATGAAATGATCAACCAATTGCTGAAGTTCGGGGCGAATGTAAATTACTACTCTCGTGTCAACACCACTCACTTCCCCTCAGCTCTGCAGTACGCCTTGAAAGACGAGGTCATGCTGAGGATGATTCTGAACCATGGATATGATGTCAAGCGTTGCTTTGAATGTCCGTATGGGGACACTTCCCATGACTATGCTCCTTGGACGACCTCAATCATCAAAGACCTGGTGGTGAGGTGAAGCTAGTCTGTGAGGGAAAATGCTGTTAACATTTGAAGAACAAGGAGAAACTGGCAGGGGAATCAGTGGAGTAGGTCAAGGTTTTGTTTTGACTGCCACGTGTGTCTTTGTGTTTGTCCTTCCAGTTCTGCGAGGTGATAACAGTGTCCTGGCTTAAGCACTTATCTGCTCAGGTGGTGCGCATCATGCTGGACTACACCGACCACGTCTCCTTCTGCACCCAACTCAAGGACACTTTGAAGGAGCAGAAACAGTGGATGGAGATCTGTCATATTCAAAGTGAGAACTGAAGGATATTAATTACATTTTTTTGCATTCATTGATTTAACTGACTTGATTTACACTCAGGTAATACACGAAGCCTGAAGCATCTGTGTCGGTTGCGGATAAGGGAGCATCTCAGTCACCTGCGCTTGAGATCCCCAGTTTTCATCAACTATCTTCCTCTTCCTCCCAGGCTGAAAGACTACATACGCTACAAAGAGTTTGATGTATACAGCAGAGGCAGCATGGTGAACCCATAGTGAAAACACATTAGCTGCCACAGATACAACTGGAATAAAGGGACAAAGACAATCAGTGTTCATTATTTAAGTTTTTCATGTACTTTAATGATTGAAATAATATTTGTACAAACCTGTAAGTGTTTTTGGCATTCTTTCTTTTTACATTACATGTTACTTGTTAGATGCTTTTATCCAAAGCGACTTACATACTCAATGCTGTGGGCAATCCCCACAGGAGCAATTTGGGGTGAAGTGTCTTGCCCAGGGACACAACGACATGCTGACTGCAGTGGGACTCGAACTTGCTATCCTCTATCGCTAGCCTTTATTACCACTCACCTGGTTAAATGGGTCCTAAAGAAACAATTTGAGAATTTATGTATCTTTGTTTCACAATCAGTCTTATAACAATAAGATCACCATTTTATAATGTGAGAACAAAAAAATCGAAAAGTGAGATGGCGTTAAAGCATTAAACCTGTATGCATAAAATCGTTAACAATGTAATATAAACATTAAAACATGTTTATGATTCTTGAGTCTGTCTCTGGCTCTTTGTCATTATCTGGTGGTATAATAAGGTATTACAAAAGTTGGATTTGTTCTGTATAGGTTTCATTTATATTATAAATGAAATGAACAAATCCCACAAACGATACCCAATATATAAAATGTATATATTGGGTATCGTTTAAAGCGAGTGTATTTGTCATCTGAAACCATCTCAATTAATTTATAAACATTAAGGGAATCATTACAATTACACAATGTGTATCCTCTATACACAACAGCTCTTATACCAAAATGGTACTTAGCAGCATAAACCATTTAGATAAACATAATTCAATTAGAATAATAATGGTGTTGGTTATTTGTATGGTTATAACGATATTCCATTGATTACATTATTTGGTAATATAAGTGATCTTTTACACATTTAGGTTTCATTATAGTAGCACGTGAAAAATGGGTGGGTCTTTATACATTTTGCCTTGTAAATAGAATGTGTCCTAAATTAGTTTACATTTGCATACATCCTTCACCGCCATGTTCACTCACTATTGCATCCATCACTCATCACCGGTCCGGCAGTACCCCGCTCAGCCGTTGGGTGGCGTTTGTAAACATCGTGACGGCAGCGTTTTGCAGTGGTGGAGAAGAACGTGTACGTCATTTTCACAATGGCGGAGGCTGGTTGAGGAGGACTGTGTGTAACTGAAGCGCCGCCGTAATCGTTTGAGCTACATTGCCCGTTATACGTGCACGGTGCCCGAAAATGGACCTGAACCCCGACGCGGTGGGGAGAAGGGACTCAGAAAGTACCGCGACGGACGAAATGCAGCTGGAGGGAGGCGAACCATTGAAGAAATCCGCCGCCACCTCGGCCACAGCCAACCAAAATGGCGATCAGCCTGGATGTGGAGACGGTGTAATGCCCGAGAAAGAAGCCCCTGAGCGGCGCAGGAGCGTGCAGGCAGATGCCCGGAGCTTTGGCAGTTCTGCCTTGCAAGGCCAGAGACCAAGCGACGAGCTGCCACGGAAGAATTTCCAAATCCCGAGGAAGATAAGAGAACGGAAAGGTGGTGCCATATCGCTGCTATTTTGAACAGAGCCTGTCCTGTCTTTCATAATTCTGATGCTGCATGTTGCTAGCCTGCTAGCTAGCTGGATGGCCTCGCTAGTTTTACTAGTTTAACTTAATGTCCACGGGTTAAGATTAAACCAACGACGTAGTATGTAAGCTATCGGACAGTCTGGACTAATGTAGCGTGAGTTGTTTTAGCAGAGCTAGCTTTGGTGGTCCAACCCAGGTACCCAAGTTACAGCAGTTGGCTACTTGTCCCTTGAAGGCTCCTGAAAGCAACACACTGCCCGTTTGAAATACCACCTTGTTTGGCCGTTACCTTTTTCATGGGACTATAGTCTGATTGAGTTTCGCTGCTGGTGTCAAGAGTTTGTTGCAGCCATCACCTGACAACATGTTGGTGTCATATTGACCTCGGTGAAGGGCATGAATAATCCACCCAACTTCTAAAAAAGGTGTTCACAATACCAATAAGTAGGGCTGCCCACCCCTTGTCCCAGCTTGATGTCACTTGTGTATCAGAGCATCCTTCTTACACCTTCACCTCACAGTACAATACAACGACACTGGCCCCATCATGTCTCAAAAAGGAGGTAGCAGAGTGGTTGTTACAAACCTTGCTGTCATACATCACTTGTTTGTGTATATGCAAAGTTGAGCTGAAGTTGCTAGACTTGAGCCTTTATTAAGCAGCCACGCTTGCAGTATCTGGTCAACTCATCAAGGTTCATATGTAAAACAAAAACAATGTAATTATTTTGGTAAACTTGAATGTGAGACAGACCAGGCTGTGTGCATCTCCAGATTTTAGTCAGTCAGCGTGTTTTCTCTCCTGAAATATTTATCACTTCTTGTTACCCCACAACTTGAGTGAGGCTGACACTGCTCCGTCCAGTATTTAGCAAGTGCTTATTCTCTTCTTTATATGTTTTTGGATTTATAAAATAAACCTTTTTGTAAACACAGACAGAAGCTAGGTTTCGTCACGTGTTGGTTGATATAAGAGATTCCTACTTACTGCTGATCAGTGTTCAGCTTATTCCTTAGACAACTCGGTAATCTATTCTAGTCAGCTGGCTTTAGCACATGTGAAGTAGAGGCAGCTGGGTCAGTGCAACCCCAGTGAGATTCACTTAATGTACAGAGAGAGAGACTTTCTGCTAATAACTGAAGTCTTAACACAGGTCCTATGTATTTTCTTCTCGTGTAAGAAAGATATATTGGTACCATATCACCCTATATATGAGGATGATTATCAGCTTGATGTTGCCGTCTCCTGTGGATTGAGTTTAAGTGTTGGAATGCTTTACTACTACTCTGCACATTTCTAATGCACTGATCTCCTCTCTGTGTGCAGGCTTGTACCAGTTCCTGCCCCCTGACAGCCGGGAGTTTGAAGACCTTGTGAAGATCTTCTCCTCGTTTTACCTCGACTCGTCATCACGAGGAACCTTCTCCTACTGCAAGGCAAGGCTCATTCACAATGAGCTGCTGGAGAAGGAGGTAGGTCAAAGTCTTCCTGTGCCGCAAAATGTCTCTACACACTTTCAGTTGCTCTGATGGAACCTTTTATCATGTTGAAAGCAAATGTTACGTAAGATAGATAAATAGTAGTCTTTACGGCTTAGCTGGTAAAACGACTGTTCTTGTGGATCACATGGCAGGATAGAGATCATGTCGAGTCCCGGCTGTAATAAAATGGGATCTTTACAAGTTACACATTCTACCAGTCATGCATGTTAAGCTCTGCTGTATTTCATTGGCTGTCTGCTCCATGTTTCGTGCCAGTTCATCGAGAAGCGGAGAGAGATGAAGCAGGAGGGGCGGACGGAACCAGAGCTGACCGAATCATACTGCTTCCTTTTCCCAGACAAATCCAAGGTAATAATAATAATGGACGTGGTGATGATGGTTTAAAATAATGATGTTTTCTCATTGGGCATGATTCTGAGCTCTTCTTGTTCTCTTGTTTGTGTAGCTCCAGTGGATCTGTGAGAAGGGTCTGTCGGTGGGACACTCCAGGATTACTACACTAGGAAACAATTCAACGGGTGAGTTAGTCTCTGGCTTGTTGTTTCCTCAAAGGGAGACGGTATTGTTTTTGATTAGATGTTCTTTATGTCATGTTATTGTTTTAGCATTGACAGCGGTATTTGTTTCCTATTTTAATATATTTAATTTGTTAGCCGATTGATAAGCAGCTAAGGACCTTTTGTTTATTGTGACCTGATTAACTTACAACCTTACGTGCTATCTAGCTAGCTGGGAATGGCTCTTAAATATAAAAAATATATCACTTTAATGTTGGTTCATCACTGACTACCAACTCAATGAACGAATGTTTTGTCCTCTCAAAGTATCACCATGTAATTGACATGATTATTATGGTTTTGAGTGTAAAACAATTATAATTTAATGCAGGGGTGTCAAACTCAAATACACAGTGGGCCAAAATAAAAAAATTGGTTCTAGTCGAGGGCCGGACTGATTCAATGTTTATTGCAAAACGTATTGAAATGAACTTATTGCACATTTTAAACCTGGAACTAACAAAGCTTAAATTATTGCCTATAAAAACAACATTAAACATTAAATAATTAGTGCAGTTCATTTCTTATGGCTCTATCGCCAGGCTTTTCTTAGATTACGTTTTTCCACAGGCAAACAACAGCTCAGAAAAAATATTCCCGTCAAGAGAAAACGCAAACATGCATGTTGTCTCAAGAGAAAAGTGGCAGAAGGAAACATCCCATGAAACTCAGTGTGCTGCTGTGATGCTAGTTTGAGCCAGAATACTTGGTCATCTCGGGTGCAAGTTAATCAATGTTTGGGGTCAGGCTCTGAGCTGAGGAGATCCTCAGGATTGAGTGAAAGTGTGCATGCAATATACCGGCGGGCCAGATCTAATAGTAATTAAAAATGATCCTGCGGGCCGAAATTAAATCTACCACGGGCCTGATTTGGCCCCCGGGCCTTGAGTTTGACACATGTTCTTTAATGCATTACTGATGGAGTATGATTATGATGCTGTTCCTCTAATCCAGTTATTCTGTCGTTGTAGGTGTTTATGTCTCAAAATATTCTGATCTGTTACAAATCAATCCCTTCGAAGTGGGCTCGTCTGGAGACATAATCATTTTCAAAGTCATGAGGGTATGTCTACAACTCTATTTTCATTTTGTGCTGTTGACAGATTTCTTATTCCCGTGGGATCTTAAGCTCACCAGTCTGTTTTGTCTCTCAGGGCCGAATAAAGCACATCCATGAGAACATGCCTAAGAACGCTATGGAACCGAATCAAAAGTTTGACTCTCACTTGTCCAAAAGTGCCAATAGGGTCACGTCTTTGCTGTCTTACAGGGCTTTCGAGCTCACACAGGTAAACAAGAGTTCTTTGTTATTTCACTTAATTTATGTTTTGTACTTTCAAATTAAGTTACTTTATGTCATGGACAGAATTACTTAATAACACATATTTCTTGTTGTCTTTTAGCAATATTTTTTTGAGTTTGCATTCGATGAGATCAAGGCACGACCCCGGCACGTGTGCCCCTACGCTGTGGTTTCCTTTCAGTACAAAGGCAAGGAGGCTGCAGCAACTCCTATGACTTCACACAGGTGCGTATTATCTGCCCATCTCCACTGCTACGGCACTGAAACTGTACTTTGAACATTTAAAATATATTATTAACCAGCACTTATTAAAACTATTACTTAGTTGTATACCTGTTTATCTAGGCCCTTTTTTTGTTTTATATATGTCACACTGTGGGACTGAGGGAAACGCTATCTCGAGATTTCTTGATGCATAACACATGTAGTAATTTTGACAATAAAGCTGACTTTGACTTTGAAGTGATGAAACTTGGCAGTTATCTCCCGGCAACTGGGGAGGTTTTCATAGTGTTGTGTGTTTTGTAATGAGCCTGTTTTTTTAATTTCTTTTAACAG